TTAAGGTTGTGACCCACCTTGTACTCCATATATACGTGCGGTATGCACCGATCGATACATCATGAAGCATTGCCAAACTCTCATTTCCAACAGTTAGAATTCCTCTGGAATCGGCACCAAAGAAGCTAGTTTCCCCAGGATTACTGTGTGTGTTTCCTGCGTTCCGAACGCCACGAAGGAAAATAAACTTGTGTAAACAGTGTTCCTCTGAATTTCCTTTGCAAAACCTACAAACGAAACGGGGCCCAAGCTTGTGATGTAACGTCGCTGGACGAACATGATTTGCCAACCAAATTTACTATGGTTGCAGGTACACCATATCTGCTTGCATCAGCCTAATCGATTTCGTAAACCTTCTTCTCGTGGCCATCTATGTCTTGAGCTTGCTGATCGCCGCGTGCAAGAGTGTTGTAAGCCCAGGGCATCAACCATATACTGAGCTCGATTATAAGGGTGCGACTTGCCTCGCCTAGTACTCGAGAAAGAGGGAATTCAGGGTCGTCAGGGCAGGGGCCTTCCATTTCCGTGTGTTTGTGGCTTCCCCCTACCGCGCGCTTCTTGGCATTCCCTGCGTCTGCCTGGGATTGGGAGCATGAGGCTCCTCTCCCCACGAAGCAAAGTTTTATTTGTGTTGCAGGACATACCATTTTTGCAAGTTTCTTGTACCTTCACAGATTGATACCTTAAATTTTCACTGAGGGAAAGTTTACTTTTTGTTATAAACTCCCACGCTGGAGCGCCCAACACGTGTAACACTTAGATTGAGTCAGTCACTTGGTTCATTTACCTCTCAAGGTCCTTACAAGCACGTCTTGAAATCCATTAGGTGCCGGATTCTTCTTCCTTCAATCCATCAGCAGCGTACTGTGAGAATAACTCGATGCCACCTATGAGGTGCAGTGGAGCAAACTTTTCTAAACATGAGCTTGTAGAAGTAGCATCTGAAAAGTCGTCGATGTAGACCTGTAGACGCCGACGACCACGATCTGTGAATCGCCCCTAGAGAAGAAAACGTCGACAAGAGCCTGCAGAAACTTCAAAGACCATGAAAACCAACCAAAATCCAGGCGGATCCATCCAAAACATAAATGACCAGATTTCAGAAGACCCGTAGACGGCTCCACACTCCCTCCATCGACGATTATCAGACCAAACGAAACGGGGACATGTGGGAAGAACATTATTCGTACACGAGGATGATAGAAAGCCCCCATGAACAGGACCTCACCGTCGACGGCGTTGCGCAGGCTTTGCCCGGTGACGCGGAGAGAGAGTGGGCACACGAGTGGCGGCTAGGCTTGTAGATCGTCCGCCGCAGCCATCTCTCGCACGAAGCGCTTTTCTGTTTGCTTACTGCCAGCTACTCCTCTTTTCCCCAAAAAAAGGCACTTGCGTCTTGTTTGTCTTGCCGCTTGTTTTCTTTTCCTTTCCGTCGCTTGTTATTGTTCCGTTCCTCGCTGTCGTGCTGACTCTGCACGTCCAACCAACCTTCGTCCACAATATCGTCACGGCAGCTTGCCAGTGGAGTGAATCTAGCGGGGCCAGCGTGGTAGTTAGCACGGCGCCACTGACATACTAGTGCTGAAGCAGGGAACACGATCCATAACTCCACCTCCTCCCTGCATCCTCCGACACGCAGGACAAAATCATTTTTATCTTTGTTTGATTCCTCGTGAAGCTGAAGCTTATTTTAGGAAGCGGCAAATGGAGCAAGGTAGTCAACGCCAACCCTCGATCTCCGCCAAATCTCACTTCCATTAAATTCCGTACCATGATCTCATTCCCTAGAGTTCCTCCATGCCTGTAATATCTCAGTCTACTATGGTTGCAGCCACACCATATTTGCTTGCATCAGCAGCAGCCTGCCAGGGCCAAGGAGGAGGAGATCTCACTCTGGAGCTGGGTTCCCTGTGTTTCAGCCAGATGATGCTAATCGATCTCGTAAACCTTCTTCTCTCAGCCATCTATGTCTCGAGCTTGCTGATCGCCGCTTGCAAGAGGGAGTTCAGGGCCGTCAGGGCAGGGGACCTTCCATTTCCGTGCGCTGTGGCTTCCCCCTGCTGCGCGTTTCTTGGCATTGCCTGCGTCTGCCTGGGACTGGGAGCATGGGGCTCCTCTCCCCACGGAGCACCGCTCTTCTTCCTGAGAGGCTTTGTGTGGGTCTCCCTGTCGGTGTCCTTGGTCGTCCGTCCGACGAGACTCTCCGGAGCTGTGGCGATGGCGTGGTGGGCGGTGGACGCTGTTCTCATCACGGCCAACTGTTTGGAGAAGATTGCGACGCGAGCAAATCTGGGAGTTCTTGACGTAGTGTCGTGGGTTGTTGCGTTGTTGCTTCTGCTGAGCGCGACCCGAGTTTGCAGACGCCTCGCCGGTGCCGCCGCCGGCGATGGAGGCGGCGCGGAGTCCGAGCCTCTCCTTGCGGCGGGGGGCGGGGAGAGGCGGGCGGCGTTCGACGAGGCCGGATTCTTCAGCCGCCTGACGTTCACGTGGATGGACTCGCTCCTGCGCCTTGGGTACTCCAAGCCGCTGGGCCTCGGCGACATCCCGCTGCTCGACGCCGACGACGCGGCCGCGGAGGCGTGCCGTAAGTTCCTCTGCGAGTGGCATCGACGGAGGAGGGAGTCGAATAAAACGAGCAACCTCGTGCTCCGGGTGCTCGCCGAGTGCCACAAGAAGGAGCTGCTCCTGACGGCGCTCTACACGTTGCTGCGCACACTGTCCTTCGCCGCGTCGCCGGTGATGCTGTACTGCTTCGTGTCATACTCCAATCGGCAGGAGCAGGAGCGGGATCTTGGCACCAGGGCCGCGCTCGTCGCCGGCCTTCTGGCCATGAAGCTGGTGGAGTCGCTGTCGCAGAGGCACTGGTTCTTCGGGTCGAGGCGGCTGGGCATGCGCATGCGCTCGGCCCTCATGGCCGCCGTCTTCGAGAAGCAGCTGCGGCTGTCCAGCGAGGGGCGGGGGCGGCACTCATCTGGCGAGATCGCCAACTACATCGCCGTGGACGCGTACCGGCTCGGCGAGTTCCCGTACTGGCTGCACCTGGCATGGAGCATGCCGGTGCAGCTGGTCCTCGCCATCGCGCTCCTGTTCTGGATCGTGGGCGCCGGCGCGCTCCCGGCGCTGGCCCCCATGGCCATCTGCGGCGTGCTCAACGTCCCTTTCGCCAGGATGCTGCAGCAGTACCAGTGGAGGTTCATGCAGGCGCAGGACGAGCGGCAGCGCGCCACGGCGGAGGTGCTGCACAGCATGAAGATCGTGAAGCTGCAGTCGTGGGAGGACAAGTTCAGGGCGACGGTGCAGCGGCTGCGCGACGCCGAGGTGCGGTGGCTCGGCGAGACGCAGCTCAAGAAGGCCTACGGCAGCGCGCTCTACTGGGTGTCGCCGACGGTCATCTCCGCCGTGGTCTTGGCGGGCACGGCCGCGGTCCAGAGCGCGCCCCTGGACGCCAGCGTGGTGTTCACCGTGCTCGCCACCATGCGCGTCGTCTCGGAGCCCATGAGGATGCTGCCCGAGGTCATGTCAGTCATGATCCAGGTCAAGGTGTCGCTGGACCGCATCGGGAAGTTCCTGATCGAGGACGAGTTCCAAGACGACGCCGTGGACAGGACGCCGGCGTCCGACAAGAGCCTGGACATGCACAACGGCGTCTTCAGCTGGGAGCCCAGCAAGGGCACCGCAACCCTGAAAGACATCAACATCACCGCAACCCGCGGCCAGAAGATCGCCGTCTGCGGGCCTGTCGGTGCCGGAAAATCGTCGTTGCTGTGCGCGACGCTCGGCGAGATCCCAAGAATGTCCGGATCAGTACGTACGTTGAACCAATTTCCTTGCACATACCGATGTTCTCTGACATGTATTTTTCATCTTCTTCATTCAGGTGGCCGTGAGTGGCTCGGTGGCCTATGTGTCCCAGACGTCGTGGATTCAGAGCGGCACGGTGCGCGACAACATCCTCTTCGGGAAGCCGATGAGGAGTTCAGAGTACGAGAGGGCCCTGAAGTGCTGCGCGCTGGACAAGGACATGGAGAACTTCCCGCACGGCGACCTGACGGAGATCGGGCAGAGGGGCCTCAACATGAGCGGCGGGCAGAAGCAGAGGATCCAGCTCGCAAGGGCCGTCTACAACGACGCGGACGTCTATCTCCTCGACGACCCTTTCAGCGCCGTCGACGCGCACACCGCCGCCACCCTTTTCAACGTCAGGACATGAGGACTCTTCTTCTTCTCAAAACCTCATTGCCACGGTTACAGATCGTTTTCATGGACGTGACAGTCACTTTGTCTGCGTTGCAGGACTGTGTCATGGCGGCGCTCGAGGACAAGACGGTCATCCTTGTAACGCATCAAGTTGAGTTCCTCTCCAAGGTTGACAGAATTTTGGTAGGTCTCCTCTCTGTCTGCCTGCACAAAACTGACCACCATAGATGGCACTGTCTGACAGTCAGTTGTTGGTGTTAGGTCATGGAGAAGGGCGAGATAACGCAGGAGGGAACCTACGAGGAGCTCCTGCAGTTCGGCACGGCGTTCGAACAGCTTGTCAACGCTCACCAGGACTCAAAAACAACACTGGACTCCAATGTATCCAAAGAAGGAGCCATGATTCAGTACCAACAACCGATCCTACCGCAGCAGGGCAGCGACGCCGAGATCTCCACCGGCAACCTGCCGTCGGTCCAGCTGACCCAAGAGGAGGAGAGGGAGCTGGGAGGAGCCGGCCTGAAAACATACAAGGACTACGTGTCAGTGTCCAAGGGCTGGTTCCTCCTTGTCCTGATAATACTCACACAGTGCGTGTTCGTCGCCCTGCAATACCTCGCGACCTACTGGCTCGCAGCGACGATCCAAAGCCGTCGGTTCAGCGTCGGGATCGTCGTGGGAGTCTACGCGGTGATGACAACCACCAGCTGCCTGTTTGCCTATGTGAGGAGCCTTGTCGCTGCCCACTTCGGCCTCAAGGCGTCGAGGGAGTTCTTCTCGGGTTTCATGGATTCCGTGTTCAAGGCCCCCATGCTGTTCTTTGACTCTACCCCGACCGGAAGGATCATGACCCGGGTATGTGTACATATTAACACAACTTTTTCAGTCATACTTATATATGCCGATGTTACTGCAGATTTGCAGTCTGAGTTTGCGCACCGTTAATTATGCATTTTTATGCAGGCCTCATCGGATTTGTGCATCTTGGACTTCGACATCCCGTTCACGATGACCTTTGTGATATCCGGCACGGTTGAGGTGGCGGCAACCGTGGTGGAAAGATAAATCTGGAGAACTTGAGAGTAAGAAACTGAAAATCAAGAAACAATCAGCTCATTCATCTGATGTTATGAAGAGTCATATATACCATGTTTTTCAGGTCAAGTATCGCGAAAATGCGCCTACGGTTTTGCGCGGGATCACTTGCACATTTGCAGCTGGAAACAAGATTGGAGTTGTTGGAAGAACCGGGAGCGGGAAGACCACTCTCCTGAGCGCGTTGTTCCGCCTCATCGACCCCTCCGGCGGGCGAATTCTCATCGACGATGTCGACATTTGCACCATAGGACTGAAGGACCTTAGGATGAAACTCAGCATCATTCCTCAGGAGCCAACGCTTTTCAGGGGCAGTGTAAGGAGCAACGTCGATCCTCTGGGTCTGTACACAGATCAGGATATCTGGGAGGTCTGACCACAGATCACTACATTCTGAAATCCACATCAGTTCCAGTATTTTCACCTACTACCATCGGCCTTTGTTGGGGACACATTTGTTGATCCTGATCCTGACACACTGGTCTTTTACAGGCGTTGGATAAGTGCCAGTTGAAGAAGACAATCAGTGTCCTTCCTGAACTTCTTGAGGCACCAGGTGACACAATGATCCTGAGTTCTGAGTCTCAAATGAAGCCTGTACGAAATGTGATAAGTTTGTCTTTGCATCTGCAGTGAGCGATGACGGAGAGAACTGGAGCGCGGGCCAACGGCAGCTCTTCTGCCTCGCGCGCGTCCTCCTCAGCAGGAACAGGATCCTGGTCCTCGACGAGGCGACGGCGTCGATCGACTCGGCCACCGACGCCATCCTGCAGAGGGTCATCAAGCAGGAGTTCTCAGGGTGCACGGTGATCACCATAGCACACAGGGTTCCCACCGTCACAGACAGTGATATAGTCATGGTTCTTTCCTACGGTACAAGCATCTGACTCTACGCGCTACTAAATTTTGCTGGGGATATAGATTTACCAATGGAGAAACATATTCTATTTATTGCAGGTAAGCTTATAGAGTACGACAGGCCATCAAGGCTGATGGAAAATGAGGACTCATCATTCTTTAAGCTCGTCGCCGAGTACTGGTCCAACTATAAGTGAACGCAGAAAATTCAATAAATTCGTCGGCTGTAGGCTACAACTCTTCACATACCGAGTGAAAATTTTGGACCTGAAAATTGTTTGGAAAAGATAGGGATGGAGATGTATGACACAATGATCCAAATGTATGTTGGAAGTTAGTAGAAAATATGAGTTGAAATATGCAGTTGGATTGTGGTGGTCGCACGTGTCAGTGTGAATGATTTCTTGTGTTCCGGTTTGCACCTTTTTTGATTTGTTTTACATACTTTCCTTTAATGCAATCTATGCATTATTCTAAGTCTGAGAACTCTAATGAAGGAAGAATTTCATTTTTAACTAATCTGAATCCATGGGTTTAAGCTTAGGTGCCATGTTGCCCATCCTGAGAATGTGCTCTCTTAGGTGCCATGGGTTTATGCCATGCCCACCGCCTGATAAGCATAAAAATGAAATTCTTCCTCCATTAGAGTTCTCAGACTTAGAATAATGCATAGATTGCATTAAAGGAAAGTATGTAAAACAAATCAAAAAGGGTGCAAACCGTAGCACAGGAACACTAGAAATCTTCACACTGATATTTGTGGACCATTTCCTGTGAAAAGTGTGGATGGCTATGACTCGTTCATAACATTCACAGATGATTACTCCCGATATGGTTATATTTATCCAATCAAAGAAAGATCTGAAGCGTTGAATAAATTTAAGATATTCAAAGATGAAGTTGAAAATCAGCATGATAAAAGAATAAAGATAGTAAGATCTGACTGTAGGGGGAGTACTATGGTCGACACACTCCATATGGCCAAGTCCCTGGACCCTTTGCAAGGTTCTTATAGGAGAGTGGCATAGTGGCCCAGTATTCAATGTCGGGCGAGCCTCAGCAAAATGGAGTAGATGAAAGGCGTAATCGTACACTAATGGATATGGTGCGCAACATGATTAGTTACTCCACCTTGCCGTTGGGATTATGGATGGAGGCGCTTAAAACCGTCATTCACATTCTCAATAGAGTACCAAGCAAGTCGGTGCCAAAACACTGTATGAGTTGTGGACAGGAAGAGTGCCCTCCCTACAACACTTCAGGGTGTGGGGGAGCCTAGCTGAGGCCAAAGTGTTTAATCCAAATATTGCAAAGTTAGATCCCAAAACAGTCAGTTGCCACTTCATTGGCTATCCTGATAGATCAAAAGGTTTTCGTTTCTACTGTCTAGAGATACAGAAAATTTGTAGAAACAAGACATGCAGTCTTCTTAGAGAACGAAATGATAAGGGGAGCATGGTAGCTCGGAAAATTGATCTTGAGAAGAAGAGGGTGCATGCACCTAATCCAATGATTCAGGAGCCATTTTTCTCACTACATGTTGTATCTGCACCGACAATCCCTGATGTTGCGGTGCAAGCACCTGTTCTATCTCCACCCATGACAACTATGGGAGAAGATTCAGAACTTGTCCGTCAGGAGCCGACTGGACCCGTTGTTTAGCATGAGGGGGAGGCGCAACAGCCATTTTTAGAAGATGTGCCGGAAGTTGAGGCACATAATGTGCCAGAGAATGAGGCCCCTAAAAGGTCTAAAAGAACTAAAATAACAGCTATTTCTACTGATTATAAAGTTTATAACACAGAAATGATTCATATGGAAGGTGATCCCACTTCATATGAAGAAGCCATGAGAATCCCTCACTCATCGAAGTGTCTGGAGGCAATGGAAGACAAGATGAAATCGATGAGTTCCAAAGATGTTTGGGACATAGAGAATATTCCCAAAGGAGCCAAAACAGTAGGCTGTAAATGGGTCGACAAAACTAAGTATGACTCTAATGGAAATGTAGAAAAGTATAAAGCACGACTTGTGGCAAAAGGATTTACACAAAGAGAAGGGGTAGATTACAATGAGACATTTTCCCCAATCTCATGTAAGGATTCCTTCAGAATCATAATGACATTAGTTGCACATTTTGATTTAGAGGTACATCAAATGGATGTAAAGACGACATTCCTAAACGGGGATTTAAAAGAAAATGTTTACATGAAACAACCCAAGGGTTTTATCATGGAAGGCAAGGAAGATATGGGATGCTCCTGAAGAAATCTATTTATGGATTAAAGCAAGCCTCTAGACAGTGGTATCTAAAGTTTAATGAGACAATTAAAAGATTTGGATTTAAAGAGAATTTTGAGAATAACTGTGTTTATGCAAAGTTTAAAAATGGGAAATATAATTTTCTAATCTTGTATGTGGATAATATCTTGCTTGCTAGCAGTGATGTTAGTCTGCTACAAGAAATAAATAAGTACTTGTCCTCAAATTTTGATATAAAAGATCTTGATGAAGCATCATATGTTTTGGGCATAGAAATTCACCGAGATAGGAAAAATGGAGTTTTAGGACTATCGCAAAAGGCATATTTAGAAAAGGTTCTTAAAAAGTATAATATGCATGCGTGTAATGCTACACCTGCTCCTATAGTCAAGGGCGACAGTTTTGGGAAATTCCAATGTCACAATAACCAGTACAAGATCGATCAAATGAAAGTGGTACCATATGCTTCGGCTGTTGGAAGTGTACAGTATGCACAAGTGTGCACTCGCCCTGACTTAGCTTTTATTACTGGGGTACTCGGTAGATATCAAGAGAATCCAAGCACAGAGCACTGGAAGATGGTAAAGAAAGCATTGCATTATGCGCAAGGCACGAAGGACCTCATGCTAACATACATGAGATCTGATTCCCTAGAGATAAGAGGGTATTCAGATGCTGATTTTGCGGGAGACAAAGATGATAGAAAAAATCCACGTCAGGATACGTGTTCACTCTCGCTGGAGGGGCTATTTCGTGGAAAAGCTCCAAATAGTCAATAGTTGCATCGTCCACGATGTATGCAAAATTTATAGCATGTTTTGAGGCCACGGGGCAGGTGATATGGTTAAAGAAATTTATACCCGACTTGAAAGTGGTAGATTGTATTGACAAACCACTAAAGCTGTACTGTGACAACCAACTCGCAGTATTCTATGCTCACAACAACAAGTTGAGTAATGCTGCCAAACCAATAGAGATGAAGTATTATGTTGTGAAAGATAAAATCCAGGATCAAACTATAATGACAAAGGATATGCTTGCGGACCCGCTTACGAAAGGCTTACCACCCAATGTGTTCAAGGAACACTTAGCTGACATGGGTTTAAGGGAAAGCCTATGATCCTGGATCATGAGAGGCCCAAAGGAACAAAATTTGTTTCAAAACAGAGAGGTATGTTGTAGTTGTCTGATTCTATCGGCAGTTGAGCTGTGATGATGAAACATGTTCTATGTATTGATCTGTGATGAAACGAGTAAAGTAAAAAAGTATATGGTTAAAGGTAATGTTCAGATCAGGGGGGGATGTTAGGATGATCTCCTCCCAAGTGGGCCCAACGGCCCACCGGGCCCTTAGATCCGCGCCCTGATCGGGGGCACCCAACCCACTATGGTTGACGGGCCCCTGTCACCTACGCAATATATGAAGAGGTGGGGGCCGACGACACGCAACACGAGGTTCGTCGCGAGCCGTACACCCCACCGACACACCTACCGATCTAGGTCAGAGCAGTAGTGATGGGAAGCTCCGCTGTCGCCGCCTCGACCACACCCTGCCATCACCGTCGCCCTCCACCATGTCCGGCACCACGGTCTCATCGAGCCAAGGAGAAGGTACTCCTCTTTTTCTCCATCTCTTTGTCCTCCCTTCTCAAATGATTAGACAGATTCGATATATAGACGGTCCTACCGATAATCTCTAGCCTAGATGTTCCTAGTGAAATTAACAGCACAACCTCTTTGACCCCCCCCCCCCATCTAACCTTTGTTTCTTTCTGCATTTGACATCTAGTGTGTCATAATTTTTTACAATGAACTGTTGAACTGGCTTGCTGACTTTATGTCGTTGCCGAACCTTACCTATATCATCTCAATGGGCTCCTTCCCTCCCTGCCACCTTCAGGACTTCCTGATTGTTTGAGCCTAGCGTGCTACCTCCAGCTTCTTTCAATATACCTAACCTACCATGGATATCACAAAACCGGAAATGGAATTTTTTTTCAAGCATTAGAGGTCTTAGTTCTGACATCAAAGGAAATTCTGTTTGAAAAAAAGAGAGCGGAAAGCGGCCGCATGCTATTTACATACACAAAGAAATAGTGTTTTGATCTCTCACATTAGCACATGATGGCTCAGTTCATTCCTTGGTTAAAAATGTCTCTAGCACCCTACATGGGCACAAGGTCAATTGTAGCTTTTCGAATGAGACGGTGTTGAAGGCGCATATAAGCAGTGATTGTGATTCCTCTGACTTGTGCTCTCGGAACCTGAAATCAACTAACCAAGTAAGTGGTCAAAGTGAAAATTCACAACTATTCTTCCTCAACCAGTTGTGAACCTCTCGGGACCAAAGAGCAACCAAAAAGAGCTAAAGTACTCAAGGATATTCTTAACAGATATCCAATGCCATTTGGCATCAGCTCTTTGTCAGTCTGGAAATTTGCACGACCAGATGATCATCTGGCTGTTACGTTATGCTTTCTCAGATGTACCCTAGCGCTACCATTTATGATAATTTTGTATCTTGATAGAAACCACAAGGGAATTCACACCCTTCTTTTAGGAAATTCTCATCCTTTTAATACAAGCATGACTATATGTATGTGGATGCCCACATATTACTCTGTGGCAGAAAAGTATCGTTAGGTCTCGCTGATGTGAAATGCCTTTGATCTTAATGATTATAAGAATAGACAGTGTCATTCGATTTTCCTCCTAAGATACTTTTTTAGTGATCATGTAAGAATATAAAGGACCATTGGATTTCCTCCTAAGATTTTTTTTAAATGATTATATAAGAATATAAAGGATCACCCAATTTTCCTCCCAAGATATTCACTCTCCACTTACAAATGTTTCATGTCCAACACTGCAGTCTCTAGAGCTCTGGGACATTGCTGGAGAACAGGGGCATGACAGCTCTAGTTATGCATGCAGC